GTCGTACCTATTTAATAGTTTGCTCTCTGCGTTTCTGCAATTAAAAAATAAAAGTACTAACAATCAATATTTACGAGGGTGAATCCGTATACTCCGTCCCTGGCCTATTTTGCGTTGTTGTGCTATGGTATTTCTTGAATTGTGTGTCGTGATTGTTCATGAAAATGGATTCTGTAGAACAATCAGCTGTAATAAAATACCTCCAGAAAAAGGAATGACGCCAACTTAAATTCATGAAGACATTGTGGCAACTATTGAGGAGTCTACGGTTTCTTATGACATAGTCAAACAATTGGTGTCGAGATTTTAAATGGAAGAACATCCTGTGAAAATTAGCACAATGGTAACAACAGAAAAAAACTTTAAAAAAGTACACGATATCGTACTGCAAGACCGACGAGTATGCATCAGAGACATTGTGGAAGATAATGGCTTAACATATCACCTCATACTGAATAAAGAGTTAGCTATGAAAAAGATGAGTCCAAGATCGGTGCCCCAAATGTTAACCATTAATCAAAAAAGAAATCTGGTGTTGACTTGTGCACGACTTTCTTAGTCGGTATATTACCATGGACTAGTCATGGGTGTACCGCTATGATCCCGAGACCAAAGTGCAAAGTGAAGAATAGGAACATCGCGGTTGTTCTCTTCCACGCAAATTCGAAGTTGTGCCGTCTGCTGCAAACGTTTTGCTGTCTGTGTGCTGACTGACTATTTACAAAAGGGACAGAGCATTACAGATGCCTATTAAGCACAATTGATTTCTAAATTGCGAGACGCTTTTAAAGTGAAGCGCCAAGGAAAGTTTAAGAACGGTGTGTTGTTCCATCAGGATAATGCTCCTAGCCATACATCTTGTATTGTCATAGCTGCTATACACCAAGCATACTTTGAATTAGTGTTGCATCCACCACATTCGCCAGATCTCACCTCCAGTGATTATAGGCTGCTCATAAAATTAAAATAAAACATACGTGGTCATTTTTTTTCCAGTAATGATGATACATCAGGCAAGGTGTAGAGAGGTGGTTTGCAGAGGTCGGACAAAAACTTTTAGAGCACCAATGGATCAAGTGCATTAGTGTAGAGGGAGTCTAGATTGAAAAATAAAAAAACATAATGCTACTGTAGTTTTACCGTAAGGGGGCCAGAGGTGCAGCAAAGGGATCCACCCACGTACACTCTAACTGTTGAATTACATTCAACAAGTTGCATTCGTTACTGCGCTCAGTATTGCATCAAATATACACTAAGCTTTTATTCTCAACTATTTTATTACCTACTTCTGAAGACGTCTCCGTAAGCGGCACTACCTTGGCCGATAAGAGAGGTCTCCCAACAAATAACTATGTCACAGGCATCATTCCCTTCTTGCCCACTTCTCATTGGTTATCCATACGCTGCAACCACTTTCATTAATCAACTTCACAAGCGTGACTCTCGGGTTCGCTTGACAGCTTGTCGTTTTCTTCTTCTTCTTGTCAGAGCGTTAGTACCTCTCAACGAATACAGCACAGCGTTTTGCGGTGTTAAAAAGGCAACGCTTCGTCCGCATCATTAAGAATGGCTAAAGTAACATTTTTCCTAGTGAAATACTGCAAATAATGTAAAAAGTATTTATTCTTAAGTGCACCATGTGCTGAAAAATAAAATCATCTCATTAGTGTAAAATAAAGTGTTAAATCAGAAGGCGATCTTTTAATCCAAGTACATTATTATTTAATACAGTTCAAGATTTTGCCAAGGTCCGAATGTCGGTCCTAGCTTGTTTATTGGAGCGGAAACACCGATAGAAATCGATACATTAACTTAGTATAAAAATTCGTCAAAGAATACATATAAATTCACATTTCTGTCTAACGATGTTCGTTCCGTGCGTGACAGCAGCGCCAATTCATTTAGGTACTAATGGACTATTTTTGCGTATACTAACAATACAATTTTTAAAAGAATTCGTAATTAAAAAGTATATATGTTAGTTTTAATAAAATTATATGGATTTGTAAAACAAGTAAAACATTAATTTATTATTATTATATATTTTTATCGCTTAAATTAAAAAAAAATTAGGTATAATCAATAAAAATCAATAATAAAATATAGGCAGGCAACGGGAAAATGTATGAGAAATTGCCTAAGTCTAATAAGTTGTCTTTGAAGAATTAACCTATTCTATCAAAACAAAAAAATTCCATTAAATAATAGCGTGAAGTTAAAATGTATAAACAGAAGGATTGTTATTTATATTTTTAATTTTGTTCGAAAGAAAACAGAAAGAATGATTAAAATTGCATTTCAGCCACATACAATAATCAAAGGCAGAAATCATGAAATTTAGTCCTTGCTGAACATTTTAGAATAAAGGGATATTGAAGAACATCGTAAAATGATAATTTATTGTTTATTTAAAACCTTTCAAGTTTCTGATGTCTACTATTTCAGTATTACTGTTATTATTACAAAAATAAAGGAAATTTTTCTTCCTATCCATTTATTTCTTTGATTTAATTTCCATTTTGCTACTGAAAATTTTTATAATTTTCACTGTATTTTTTGTTAGTATTTTAACAATTTTCAACACAGCAACTCCGGTTGCTTATTGTATTGTTTTTACCTACTTTTTGAAAAAAAGTAAAATGTATACTTGTATTTGATATGCCAAAATTACAAAATATCTCCCTAAAATGGACGAATTAAGACCACCTATGATAACTTGCCTGTCAAAATATAAATAGACAAATAGGTTTAGTTACTGTGCTTCATAGATTTTGAAGTACCGTTTTAGAATATAGTTGTTATGATCTACCTAGTTACATACTGGCAGCAAATGCAAAACTTTTTTAATTGATTTGTTAATCTCTTAATTTAGAACTTGATAAAATTACATCCATTCACCATTTTGCACAACTGATTCTATGCGAAATATAATAGCGGTATTATTTGCACTGGCTATTGAAATAGACTTATTATATGCAATATTAGATGGCACCACTTGTAACATTCGTTTGTTAATCTGTTTAGTAACGATTTTTAATGGTCGTCATTATCTGCTGGTCGCCATTTCCCCATTCTACCCTACTTTTTCATTCTACTTAATGATTTTTTAAAGGAATTTCAATGCTGTGTTCAGCTTGGACCTCCAACAAAGTTACAATATTTTTATAATTTGCCTTGGCTGTGGATAATTTTTCCTCTAACACCAAGAAGTTTTTTAAAAGCATGGTTTTATATAATTATTAATATAAAACACAAAACACTTTAAACACTATAAACAAATAACGTCTTAAAATACTCTAACCTCTTCCAAATACAACCTCAAATTTTAAATACCAATAAAAAATCGCCGCTAACTTTTTCTAAACGAGGTGGTTGGTGATCGTTGTTAGGCTTTGCTAGGTAGGTAAACAAGACAAAATGTAGTTTCTGTGACTGTCGTCATTTAATGGAACGATGTCTCTCTGTCTCTCTCGCTCTCTCCTGCGTATTAAGTGGAAGAATTGCAAAGATACCGTTTAAGGTATCATTTGGGAACTCGAGACAGATGCGCGAGACAAATGCGCGAGACAGAGGCGCGAGACAGAGGCGCAAGATAGAGGCGCAAGACAGAGGCGCGAGACCAAGGAGCGAGACCGAGGTGCGAGACCAAGGCGCGAGAACGAGACACGAGACAGTGACAAGAGACCGAAAACGGTACCTATCTTTACGTCTGAATCACATGTAATTAAATAAAGCACATTTAGAATCGAGCGACCGATGCAAGAGACAGCGACAGCACTTTCAACACGTAAACGTAAATGCATCCATCGGTCGTCTGTCGCTTGTATCGGTCCAGCGTTCCCAAATTGTACCTTTAAGTAGCGAGACAAGGCTAGGAACGAAACGTATACTCTTTCAACCTATATGCTAATTATAAACATATAATTTTTGTTAGGGTCGGCGGTTACCACCCTTTGGGTTTTGAAATAGAGAAAATAATAACAGTAAAAAAGCAGATGCCGATACTAAATAAAAAAATAACAAAATCAGCTATCAATTTATAAGATCTATGATTGCAACTGAAACGTTTCTTATCATATGCAAAAATTTACTATATTCTAAACAGTAACAAATATACGAAGACGACGGGAAAAAATTACTATTTTGGGGAGCATTACAGTAATCGATCGTTATTTTACGCCACTGTCCAAAAACTTATTTGGATTATACTTTTACATTTTTTGGTGTATTTTAAATAAATCTTGTACTCTTGTTGGGAACTCATAAAGTGATTGGTTTTCGAGAATTCACACTCAAAGGTGGATGATAGTCATTTTAATTTATTTTTTAATTTTGTAATTTTTATTTTTTTATAAAATTGCACTGAGCAAACGTTTTTGGTGTCATGAGAAGAATCAATCAAAAAAAAAACACGTAAATAAACTTTACCAGTGGCGTACGGCATGGGTAAGTAACATCTACATTACTTCTAAATATTACGCCACTTTCTAAAAACTTATTTGGACTCTAATTTTGAAGTTTTTCATGTTTTTAAATAAACCCTGTACTCTTGTTGAGAATTTATAAAAAAAATCACAATTACAAAATTTAAAAATAAATTAAAATTATTAATATCCTTTGAGTGTGAATCGAAAACCAATCATTTTATGAGTTCCAACAACTGTATATGATTTATTTAAAAAACATCAAAAATGTAAAAATATAGTCCAAACAAGTTTTTGGACAGGTAAATTTTATTTAACTGATTGTTTTGCTGATAGGTGTATCTTATGACACCAACAATGCTTACAGAATTTAGTAAAAATATACTGAGATTTAAAAAAATTAACACCCTGTTTTTCGGAAAACAGTAATATCTTATCTAAGCATGTTTCATTTAATCGTCCTATTTTTATTCAGAGAATCTTCAGTTGTTACGTTTAAGAATATAGCAAAGTTGGCACACTCTGATAAAGTAATAGATATGAAAATGTGATCCAATAATAATTTATTATTTTCAGGGAAGTAGTTATGATTCAAATGAAAATGCGTTCGATGATATGAAACAGCTAATCAATGTAAGTAGTATCATGTAATAGATCATATAAATGTCATATCATCAGAAATAAAATTTCTGCTAAATGGCATGTATCAAATTCTATAGAAAACCATGCAAATAAATTCACATGGTCTTGTGTAGGATTCGAAGCCATTGTGTCTCTTACCACAATAATGGCTCGTAAATGAATGCAAGCGCCTTAGACACCTACGCTACCGTTACGATGTAGTAAGTGTCTTTAATTAAATAAACTATGAACTACACTACTTTGCTCATAGGCAGCATTCGTTGGAGCTCAAGGGTTCCAAAGAGTCTCCCAAATGAAAAAAATGTCCATTTCATTGGTTTGTGAATTAGAGATAAATGAAGTAAGACCGGAAACATTAACTAGAGTGTTGAAGGAATTTAGAAAGTCTTGATTATTGCCAGGAAGTCAACGGCATTCACTTTGAATATTTAATTTTTACATGTATTGTTAATTATTCAATCTAAAAAAAAAATTAAAAAGTTTTTAGACCAATCCTTTCAATAAAATTTTAGATTTAAAAATTTCTGATATAATATTTGTCTCTAATTCACAAAGCAGTGACTTTGGACAATAAGTATTACATACATTTTTGTAATCGTCTATTTTTGGGAAATTCAAAAATTAAGAGAAACAAATGTTGTACTAAAAAAAAAATCGACGACGTCATGTACGCGAAAGTGGGGTCGTCATTAGTATACCCAATTGTAACGTGAAGATGATAATAAAAATTGACCTGTGAAATCATTTTGTTAAAATACTGTTAAAAACATATAGAATTTATTCCAATCTATAGGGTTGTTATATTTTTTAAGCAAAACGAAAATTTTTCTCTTGCCTCGGTTTACTAAATATAAAATAGCTATAAATAAGTTTTGACTGGGAACTCAAGATTTTTATACTCTTTTAAAATGAATTAGTGTCTATTTACTGATGGTGTGACTGTCAGTGTTACTCGTAAGTATTCGACTGGTTAAACCAGTGATCGACTTGGCACTGGAAGAAAGTTAATATAACCACTGCAAATCAGTGAAATTTGAGTATACTTATTTTATTTTTACTTATCTCGATAAAAGGGAAGTATTGTAAATGTGAAAGTTTAGATTTTCACGTTTTCGGGTTCCCAGATTACGAAAAACATGTTTTCCCTATTCCGTCGGTCTGTCCGCCGTCTGTTGACTGCCGTCTGTCTGTTGGCGCGGTACCTCAACGCAGGTAAGGGTTCCTCTTGGCTCAAAACCGGTTATACTTCCGGTCAGATATATACAGGGTGAGCATTTAAAAAAACATTTATTTTTAAAAGTCAAACTAAAATTGATTTCTGATAAAATTGTTATCTGATCAAAGATAACAGATCATGAATTACTTTTTATAAATTCAAAATGGCTTCCTTGTTTTTACAGTTTATACAGGGTGTTTTTTAATAGTATGCTAATATTATAGGGTGTGATTCCTCAGGTCATTTTATGAAGAAAAGTTCATATGAACATATGTCCGCAACGGCTTTAATTTTTTTGCTATAGGGAGTTGAACTTTTTTTTTTTAAAGAGATATCTCTGAAATTAGATTATATAAAATTTTCAATTTTGGCATATGTTAATAGGATATAAAACCACATATTTTAATTAAAAAATTTATTTTATTGCTCTACCAGTGTCTTCTCTGCAAACATATAATCTGATATTTTTTACAAAAAAAGTAGATCAGATAACAATTTTATCAGAAATCAATTTTAGTCGAAAAATAAATGTTTTTTTAAATGCTCACCCTGTATATATCTGACCGAAAGTATAACCGGTTTTGAGCCAAGAGGAAGCCTTACCTATATTCAAAATTTGAATTTTTTTTCTTAAGCCGTTTCTGAGCTACCGCGCCAACAGGCAGACGGCAGACAATAGACGGCGGACGGCAGACAGATTGACGGAATGGAGAAAACATGTTTTTCGTAATGTAGGGATCGGAAAGATTACAATACTTTCCTTTTATCGAGGGAAGTAAAAATAAAATAAGTATACTCAATACTCATTCTCTTGAATGCTCCTCTACTATATGTAATGTATCAGTATCCGTGGTTTTTTTTTGTATGTTGCCGGCTGGCTTTAAAGTCACACAATAGGTCTTTTGCTTTGCATCGAAAGTGTAGCACTGAGCTACACCACTTCTGAAAATATCGTTCCATTTATACAAAATGTATGGATAGAACGATATTTTCAGAAGCGGCATAGCTTAGTGCTACACTTTCGATGCAAAGGAAAAGACCTTATATCTCTTGCTCGTACTATACCGATTCGTTTCAAGAGTATTTTTCTAATGTCTTCACTGTAATGTTTGTCTGTGGTCAAGGTTTCGTTATTTTTTAATTAGATACTTAAATTGCACTTTTCTGGGAATGACGCACCGGGCATTAATTATGGGGGTGGCCGAGCCCACAGCTCCTGTATAGCTATGTTAATACCCCGTTAAATATTTATAAAAAAATGATGAGATATGTACAATACCTCTATATAATTCTCATTGGGAAAACGGAGGTTTTTATTTAATTGTATTGTTTAATTTTTTCAAATATAAGAAGTGTTTTACAACTAAAATTTATTCAATTCTTTTTCATACTTAAGTAATTCCATTTTATTTATTTTAATTTTAGGAGGAGGAAAACGAAAAAACTAATACCCTTCCTTTGGCTAGTTTTAACTTCATCAATTCTATAATTGGTAGTGGTGTTATTGGTAAGTAAAATTATTAGAATGTTAATATATGTAAATTATAATTAACCATAAGGCCTGTCTTATCACCTTATTACATTAACATTCTGTAAAAGTATTGCAAAAAATGTATTGGTAATTTGACAAATTTGCACAAATACGGAGTGAATACTAAGAATATAAACTAAAAATTAGGTCTACCTTTTGTGTCTCACACAATTTTTAGAATCCGGGACTGTTACAGTATTGGAAATCATATACAGTAAAAGCCCAATATTTCATAACCATCATGGAACATTTTCATATAATTCAATAAGTAGTTTAGATGAATATTTAGTAACATTATCAAATAATTTGGGCATTGGCGGCTTGTGAGCTGCGAAGATGGGGGAGCGCCAATTGGCTTGAGGGTGGGGATTATGGAAAATTTGTTTTTTATTTATTTTTTATTTTTTCATTAACATAGAAAAATAACACACTACACACTGCGCCTTGTCAATAGTCAATAAACAATATGAAATTTATTTCTTATACAGGAAGCGGGGGAAGCACCGCTTCCCTACACTTAAAATTTACGATTTAAAAATAAATATTTTTCAGTTTACAATGGATAGAAATTAATAATAAATTAGGTACTATATTTTCTCTGAAACATTACGTAAACTTCGTAAATGTACTAACAATTCATTGATGTAATGCGTAAACGCACGCACCACCCATGAGAAAATTAATTGTGTAAACGCATACATGGGGGGTGGATGGCTTAGTGGTAGAGTCTCTGCCTGTGGATCCAAGGGTCCCAGGTTCGAATCCCACTGTTGGCCGGGATTTTTTTATTTAATTTAATTATTTAAAATTAATTCTGATGCCTTGGTAGGATTCCCCACTCGACCATTCACTGTTGGGTTCTAATTAACAGTGCTGTTCCTGAAGTGGCGCTGGGAAACAGTAACAAAGCCTACACAGAACACACATGATTGAGAATTTAAACACAAACTGAGACTGGCATATTGGGTTTATACACCTAGGCCATAAATCGAAAAAAAAAAACGCACACATCACACCATATACTTTGAGTCTGTCGGTGGAAGCGCGTCTTAAAAAGCCGGCTCATCTTTTAATTAATTTCGCTTCGTGTTATTGGCCCTGCTTTGCAGCGACAGTAGTCAGTCTGTTTGGGCACGTGAAATACGGTCGAGAGGCAGCGATTTTTACGTCGCCTTACGCATATTGCAAATCGCACCGCGAATCGACGTGTGAGGAAAATCGTAGACTTCAGATAGATTTCGGTTTGTTTTTCGTAGTTGTTTTTCTTTTTGTAAAATGGAGGAACTATGCACATGCACTGCGCCTGTGAACAATAATAATGTGGTAAATTGTGTCTATATAGTGTGCTCTTTATTGAAAAAAGGATTTTCAAGTAGACATTTTTTAAGAGAAAATGGACATTATTAATTCTAGTAGACTAAAGCATCCTATCAATTTAAAGACGAAAGTAGAAAAGTCAGCAAAGAAATTTAACAAGCATTTTCACGTAAAATTCTATGAAAAGTATGAATGGTTAACCGGCTGCAAAACTTTGAAGAAATTGTTTTGCTGGCCTTGCCTACTTTTTAATATAGTCGAAAAAACACATTGGAACTCAGTCGGTATTACAGACTTGAATAATTTTCACAAAAGTGTATATAAAACGACATGTAAATAGCAAATCTCACAATTAAAGAAAAAAAATTCGGGACCTATTGCATTGAACATAGTTTGGACAATCATTTAAAAAAAAACAACAAAATTCACATTGAAAGGGTAAAAAAAATAGGGACGTCTTACAACGATTAATAGATGTAACTTGTTTCCTGGGAGAGCATGAACTAAGTTTTAGGGGTCACAATGAAGCAAGTGGATCTGCCAATCGAGGAAATTACATGGATCTTCTAAGTTTTTTTTTTTTAGCAAAATACTATGATTCCCTAAAAAATCATTTTATTGATTCGACGACTTTCCGAGGTACCTCAAACAAAATCCAAAATGATTTAATTAAATGCACTGCCGATGTTGTGATGGATCACAATAAAAGTGAAATTAAAAAAAGCACCTTTTGTATCAATTGCGCAAGCGTAGTTTCATCAAGATGAAACTACAGATGTAGCAAACTTAAGTCAATTATCCACTGTTGTGCGATATGTATTAGATGACATTCCTCAAGAGCGATTCTTAGGATCACTAGCGAAAGAATTGCAGATGCATTGTTTAAAATTGTTTGTGACATTATTTCAAGTTTAGAATGTGGTTTTCCCAAAGCTACGATGGTGCTGCCGTAATGGCTGGCCATTTAGGAGGCCTTCAAGCTAAAGTGAAAGAGAAGTTTAAACATGCAATTTTCGTTTACGGTATAGCACTGTGCGAAAAATGCTGGAAAAAATAAAAAACTTTAGTTAAATGTTTTTTTTACGTTTAAATAAACCAAGGAAGCTTTTCAATGGTAAGTTTTTTTATAGCTTCTAGTACTAAATTAGGTAATAAAGTAACACTTCAAAAATCTCAATCTCGAATATCCGTAGTACTGAGGAAAACAAAGAAAGATTTTGACAAAATGGTGAATGCGCCGCGAAAAATGTTCGTCTGGAAGCGTAGAGTAGAATAAAAGAAAATTTACGATTGGCTCTTGGAAAATTCGATTTTCCCCAACAAAAATTAAAGGTTATTTGTTGCCCATATTTTCACGCAAGCTGTTTTCACTATACAGTATGGTTCAAATGAAAGGAATAAATTCATTATAATGGAAGTAGTTGGTTTTTTGAAAAAATGCTCGGACAGGTCAATTTTGTTTAATTAAAGCGCAATTTTTTAAATCGAATTAAATTTTCCTCCACTTCCCATTTTTGGGCAGTGACGTCATTGACAATTTTTTTAAATGGTAACCCCAATTTTTTTTTCTTGATTTTGAGAGATCTTGCAATTTCCTACTCGGAAACATAATATTTGTAATATCTGACATAACAATTTTTTTTGAATAAAAGTCATTTAAAGATCAGATACATAAATTTTATTTTATTTTGAAACACAATAAATGAATAAAAAATTATTTGTAATTAAGTGCTTCATCTAAAAAAAAAAAAAAAAAAATAATAATAAAAAGAATTTATTGACAATTTCACAAATTCTTTTTTATTATTATTATAATTATTATTATTATTATTTTGTTAGATTAAGCACTTAATTACAAATAATTATCTTTTAATTAATTATTGTGTTCTCAAAATAAAATAAAAATTATGTGTCTAATCTTTAAATGACTTTTATCCAAAAAAAATTGTTATGTAAGATATTTCAAATATTATGTTTCCGAGTAGGAAATTGCAAGATCTAACAAAATCAAGAAAAAAAAATTGGGGTTACTATTTAAAAAAATTGTCAATGACGTCACTGCCCAAAAATGGGAAGTGGGGGAAAATTGAATTCTATTTAAAAATCTGCGCTTTGAGTAAGCAAAATTGACCTGTCCGAGCATTTTTTCGAAAAACCAACTACTTCCATTATAATGAATTTATTCCTTTCATTTGAACCATACTGTATGATTAATTAATAAAACTAGGCTTCGGAAAAGCAAAGGCTTTAATGTTGCAAGTGGCTAAAGGGTAGAAATAAGGGCGTAATCTTCTAAGGAAAAATCGAGATTTTACCAAATTTTTCCACACAAGCCCATCGAATGTATGAAAACGTGCATCGTCACTAGTCCGAAAAGTATATTTTGGGGTCGAAAAATTTTTCTGATAAGGAAAATCGAATTTTCCATGTGTTATCCCCAAGAGCCAATCGTAAATTTTCTTTTATTCTACTCAACAACGAAAATTCTAGACGTTATTCCGCTAGAACCAGAATGTATGTTCGGTGTACCCACCATTTATTAGACTGGTGTCTCTGACAGTTTCTAGAACATACATTTACCAAAATCGTTGTCTAGGTGCTATCGTCTTCGTTTCAGTGCATTCTAGAATGAATGATTCACTACGACTAGCTGTGACAAAGCATAGGTGTATCACCAGGGGGTTTCGGAGGTTTACCCTCCTTATCGAATATTCTTCATAATCATAAAAGTGGAAGAGGTCTAAATAAGGCAGAGAGGGACTTAAGAGATAAGAGCATGACCGAACTGATCGAAAATAGCTCTACGGAATTATTTTATTTCTGTGTGTTGTGAACATTATATACAGAAATTGTAATTTTAAAATAATTTTATTTTTGTCTTAATCAGCAGATATAATTAACATTTTAATACAAAATTTTGTGCCGTACTTGATATTAAATGTACCACAGATTGATCCACCCTACATTTTTTATAATTACTGTCTACAAATGTGTGTTAAAACTATAAAAGGAAACATCAACAATTTGCGATGCTCTTGCTATTTTCAAATAATATGGAAAGTTATGCATCTAAATCTTTTCTTATTGCACGAAGTCTACAACCACTGCAAACGGTTTAAATGAAATATTGGGAAAATAAGGCTGGAACTGGATACTAACTTTATCGTTATTAACCAGTTATGGAGTAGCGAACATGAATACGTGTTAATATGCAACAAAAGTTTGTTATCACGGCATACCTAATTTAGTTTCGCTTTGTGCTGTGTATGCTCCTTCATCGGCCAAATAAACAGAATAAACAAAATATACTTTTTGTGTAATTACGTAAAAATTAATCTCACAAACCATATCTCGATATTCCAGAGTAAATTACTTTTTATGATTTTATTTTTTTGTTATATCTGGTGTTTCTCAAGGATATCATTTAAGATCATTATTCAATTCATTTATGAATGATATTAAATAATGCTTTACGCGTTGAAAATTCTTTAGCTCTATCGATGATTTAATAGTATATTATTTAACGAGCGGTAATGCAGGTCATAACTCACGCAGATGAAGTTTGCAACACGAGCCGCAGGCGAGTGCTGTAAATCATCAAGTGAGTTATGACCATTACCGCAAGTTGAATACTATACTTTATCTACGACTATAACAAT